CCTCCCCTGTAATGCCTCCCCCTGCGATGCCTCCCCTGTAACACCTCCCCCTCTGATGCCTCCCCTGTAACACCTCCCCCTCTGATGCCTCCCCTATAACACCTCCCCCTCTGACGCCTCCCCCTGCGATGCCTCTCCTGTGATGTCTCCCCTGTAACACGCCCCCCGCGATGCCTCCCCGGTAACACCTCCCCCTGTGATGCCTCCCACCAGGGCCATGGAACCGCACGTACTGTTCACGCCATAGCGCATCACTGTGGTGAGCTGTTTCTTGGTCTTGCCGTCGGCCCCCAGCTGCAACATCCCCAGGACTGACGCGATCCCGTGGGGGGAGATGACGACATTCTCATGAGGGCGAGACTTGGCAATTTTGTTGAAAACCTGAATTCCCATGTTGGAGCTGAGCTCCTCGAGGGACAGTGGGTTGAACTGGGAGCACACAGAGGTGAACGTCACCGTGGCCAAGAGGAAGAGCAGGAAATGCCAATCCATGGCTCCGTTCAGCAGGGACAACCTGGAAAAAACCAGAGGAAGGAAATTTTACTACACCGAGGCAAGTCATGCTTTCACACCAAAGGTGGGTGACTCCACTCCATGGCCCTCAGGCCTGCCTTTGTTTTTGGTGAAACATTCTTCCTTAGTCATATAGCCCTAGTGTGTCCACTCTACTCCATGGCCCTCAGGCCTACCTTTAATTATTTTTGGTGAAACATTCTTCCTAGGTCGTATAGCTCTAGTGTGTCCATTTGCTGTACAGAGGTAACTCGTGGTTGCTGTGAAGCCGAATACTGTGACACTGATGTGTCAAATGTGATACGGTTACCCATGGTGGACAGTGTGTGGTGGAGCTCCCCGATTAAGACAAGCTTGGAAGCAGGAGAGGCATTCACTTCTGAAATAGCTTGCCTCCAGAAACCCTATGAACCTGGAGAGAGGATGAAAGTTATACAGGTGTCCAGGACTTTCATTCATAGGGTCGCTATGAGTCGCCTACGACTCGAAAGCACTTAACAACAACAACAACAACAGGCAAACATTTGCTTTCCTTGGTGGTGCAATAGTTTAGTACCTGGCTCCTAACTGGAAGGTTGGTGGTTCAAAGGAGGACAGTGCAGCAGAGGGACGATGTGGAGGAGGAGGGGGAGGAGAAGCTTGAACACTAAGGGCCTGAGAGCCACTGAGTGGAGATCTTCTCTCAAGTTTCTGAAGCCATAAATCTTTATGATGGGACACTGCCCACCTTTCTCCATCGCAGCAACTGGTAGCTCTGAACCACCAACCTTTCATTTAACAGCACGAAATGCTAGATCCACTATACCACCAGAACATGGTACAGACAGGAATTTCAACCTAAAGGTCACAGGAGACCGCTAGAGAGCCTTCAACAGGGAGCGGATCCACTGGATTCAGCTTATACCGGAACACATAACCATACCCGTCCATGCAGATGTGTGTATGGAGCCTTGTGACACATGGATTAAACCTTCAGCTGCTTAGAGAAAGGCCATGGTTGAATCGTCCAGCTGCTTTGGAAAAGACGAGGATGTCTGCTTCTGTGAAGGTTTAAAGCCTCAGAGACCCTAACGGGCAGCCTGCCCGCCCGGTCCTACAATCTTGCTGTGAGTGTGTGCTTGCATGTGTGCATATTACTTTTTAAAATTTAAAACCTATCAAACTAATTTTATGCACCAGCCTTATTTACCACAAGGAGGGGGGAAAACCCCAACCGATAAATTCACAAATTGGGAGGATGGCATTGTTTACATGGTATTTTCAATGACAATGATTTGTTTCAAATCCACCTACTTCCTTGATTACCACATACTGAGCTTTCTGTCGGTGTGACAAGTAAGAGGAAGGGAATTTACACATATTCACAGAGAAGCAGATAATTTCATTAAACAGGATCTTAACAGCAGCAGCTGGTAAGACAGAAGCAGAATCTTATGTTGCTAATTTGGTTCCTTCCTTACGGAACCACGGGAGCTCTAGCAGTGCAGTGCGTAGGGGGTGGTGCAGCGGATCCAAAGACTGAGACTCTGGGGGTTCAAATCCACCAGCGGCTCCTTGGGAGAAAGGTGGGGGCAGGGGGCAATCTCTTCCCCCACCTTCTTCCTAAAATGCATTTTACAGTCTTGGAAACCTCACAGAGGGTCACTTATGAGCCACTTCTGACTTGATGGCAATGACTGAGTGTGAACTGCAGACCCAGGCAAGCTCCAGCTCACCGTAAACTTCCCACAGAGCCAATCCGTTCCTGTGACAGACGTGTTTACGTGCGGTGGTGCCAGGATGTTAGCAGAGCACAAAGAAGGGAGTCTTTTTTAGAGATAACTGGCCTGGGGACAGGGGTTAGTGTCTGTTTTCTCTGGGGGAAAGGGTGGTCACAGGAACAGGAATGGGCCAAATTCCTTCATTTCTTTTCCGAGTATTTCTCCCCTCTGGCCAAATGCTCGAGTCAAGCGATGATGTTGTAACAGCTTTGAAAGCATCTGAAAGTTGGACAGTGAATGAGGACAGAGAACTGATGCCTTTGAGTTGTGCGGCTGACAAAGAGTGTTGACTAGACCCATGAACTGTCAAGAGAACCAACAAGACAGTCTTGGCGGAAGTTCACTGTGGGCGCTCCATAGAGGCAAAGATGGTGAAATTTTGCCTCACATACGTTGGGCATTTTGTAAGGAGGGGCTAGTCCTTGGAAAAAGGCCTCAGACTGGGAAAGGTGGACTGTCAGAGGAAGAAAGGAAGCCTCTCAATGAGGTGGGCTGACACGGTAACCGTAACTAGGGCTGGGGCACGCTGACGACTGAGGGTGGTACAGGGTAGAGCAGGCTACGATCTGCTGAATAAGGAAGACAGAGAACTGCTGTATCTGAACTGTGGTGTTGTAGAAGAGGGTGGAATATCCCACGGCCTGCCAACAGAACAAACAGATGTGTGTTGGATGAAGTACAACCAGAATGTTTCTTGGAGGCAAAGTTGATAAAGTTTGGCTTCATATTATTTTGGATATGTTCTTAGGAGAGGTTACTCTTTGGTAAAGGACATCAGGCTTGGAAAGGTAGAAGTCAGAGAAAGGAGAGGAAGACCTTCAACGAGATGGACTGATAAGAGTGTCTTGCACTCAGTTGTGCTGGGGTTGATGAGGCTAAAACCGGGTAAGACAGCATTCAGGTCTATTGTTTATGGGGTTGCTATGAGGCCTACTCTACCTGACAGCACTTAACAGTAACAAGGACAAGAGCAGTAGTCAATGGCACATAACATCAACAGTCCTGTTGCTTTAAGTCAGAATTCATGGCAACGGTACATTGTGGATTTAGGAACAGAATCTTTCTTAATTATTCTTTTAAAAAAATTTTATTTTACTAAATTTTTTAAATTATCATTATTTGTGTGTGTGTATGTGTACCGTCAAATCAGATTTGACTGGTACAGGAGGAGATTGTTCCTCCTTCTCCAGCAAAACATCTGGTGGATTTGAACCACTCACCTCTCAGATTGCAGTACAGCTTCTTGCCCCTAGGCCACCAGAGCTCGCTTATTTCACTAATTTTAATGAACGTTTACAGGGATTTGGGATTTCTGTTCATTCATTGTTGCACTTTTCTCCCGGCCCATTCCTCCGCCCAGTTCGCTCTTTTCTTTGAAAAGTAAAATAAAAATTCTTTCATTGGTATACAATCCCCCTTCCCCCCAGTACACTCCACTATGCAGCCTTCATTCTGGACTCTTGTCATGACCATAATACCCAATCATATATTGCTTTTAAACCGTCCTCTCTCTCTCTCTCATCTGTTTCAGTGCAGTCTACATAATTTATCCAATTTTTCTCAGTCTCACCCCAACCCTGATGTCAGTCCCATTCAACAACAGTGGCACTATGCAGTAGTTGTCCTTTTGGGACTGAGATATTTCACTCAGCATAGTGACCTCCAGGGTCACCCATTTTGAATAATATTGCATGAGTTCCTTGTTTTTCAATGCAGCGTAGTATTCCATTGTGTGACTATACCACAACTTCTCTATCCATTCATTTGTTGACGGGCACTTAGGTTGTTTCCAAGTCTTTGCTATTGTAAATAAAGCTGTAATAAACATGGGTGTGCACAGAATCTTTCTTAATTATTCGTACGGACATCAAAACAGCATTATTGCACATGACTCAGAAGATGACTGTGTTCTTATTCCCGAGTCTTTCTTTTCTCTCAACATACCTGCCAAGAACAGTGAAAGTGGGCCAAGTGCGGAGTGGCTGGCACAGACCAAGTTTACTGCTCGGCTCTCAGATGCACAAACAGGCCCACAGGTGAACCAGCCAGGCCATTCCTACATACTGATGGGACCACATTCTTTTATACCAAGAAACACCCCTTTAAAATATTTGGAACATTAGGTCTTTCTCGACCAGAACTTAATTGTAAAATAATTATGTAAAATCAGCTTGTCTAAATTCAAGACATGTGGGTGACCTACATACACTCTTTCCTGGGGCCCTACCAGCATGGCCTATTTTTGACTTTGGCACCGGGATTGGCTCTAACACTAACATCCTTAGTTCCATTGAGTCGGCTCGATGTTGGAGACCTTCCGAATCCTAATGATGAGAACTTTTACTAATTTCATCTAAAAACTGGGATTTCTGTCCTCCCTCCCTCCTTCTTCAGGAAAATGAACTTCCTCTTGACAATCCAATATCTTCATAAATCTAAAACAATGTGAACACTCTTTGTTACAGGGGGGCAAGATCCAACAGCTAGTGCCTACTTCCTCAACGCCAATTCTGGACTCTTTCCTTTAGAGTCTATTCTGTGACAATCTGCAATCCTGAGGATTCCCAAAGAACTCCTCCCCAGGTCAGTAAGTAAACGAACAAACACTTGAATCTGCACGACACCTCACAAGGCACAACAGGCATCAGAATGGTCTTCCTTCTGAGATCTCCAGTCGATTTGCCAAACTACTACACACAAACACAGGGCATTGCAAAACACACAGGCAAGGTCGGAGGCAGTAAATCCAAGAGCTCCCATTTTTTTTTTTGAACCAGCAAGGGCAAACTCATAAATAAAGAGCCCTCTTATTTAGCAGCATTTCGCCCGGTTATGGATTCCTGCTAAAAGAACAGTCTCGTTATGAAGCAGGAGGGAAGGCTGCCATGAGTGTTTTTCTTGGTTTCACGGGCTGGGGAGGTCAGTGAGTGATGTCTTGATCTGCAGCTTCCTACAGCGTGTTGGGAAACTGTCAAGAGCTGCACAGAACTTGGAGTCAGAGTTGTTTCTGATTGATGTCCTGGGCACCATGGCCTGGCTGCTGTCTTCCAAGCCGTGATGACCACTGGTCTAAACCCACCTGGCTCGTGTAAAAGTCTGAGACCAAACTTTCACTGCATTCCCAAGTTCAGTTGCCAGAAGACTGGGTGTTGACCCAGAAATTATTTTAGGTTTATGATTCCTAATATTGACATGTTCTAATGTCCACGTGGACATTCTTTCACATGAAAA